TTCTATTTAAATACAGTAACTTTCATTTTAAAATTTTTCTGGCACACTTGCTAACTGCAATCTTTCTTTGGCTTCATTCATTTATAATTCATGTATTTCAGAAACAAAACCACAACGAATTCTGTACAACCACTGATTGGGATTAATTCTTCATTCATTTCTCTCTATAATTTTCACATCTTGGGTCTCAAGAGGCACTCTTGTGAGATGGAAGCGACCAGCGTCCCGTCACGTCGCCAAAGACGGCCAAAGCTCATGCCGCGGGATGCACCTGTCGGCAGAAAAGAAGATATCAGTGTTGGGTTGGCCTGTCCAACATGTTTCTCCATTTCTCAGTCTTGGCGTGAATGCATACTTGGCCTGCAAGTACTAATTATTTTTTCCATCAGCTAATCTTTTTTTCAATTATGGATTCAACTGATTGAACAGCTAATTTTTTCCTCTAATTTTCAGGTAAGATTTAATCAACACTGATGAAGAGGCAAGTGGTCAATCTGAAGAACTTTTTTTTTTTGCCGAGACATTCTTACAATTCAGTACAATATATGCTAGGTTTTATCCACGTCAATGTAAGCATTCACACTACACTTTCAGTGTGGTCCAAGAGTGGCAGAAAAACTCACAACTTTGCTTGAGCAGCATTTGAACCAACAACTTCCCACTTACCAGTGCAGACCTCTTGGCATAACTCCCAGCCAAGCAAGCTGCTGAGTTTTTGGCAACTCAGACCACACTGAGAATACATAGTTAACATATACACGTGAGGGCAGATCCTAGTGTAAAATCAGCATCCCCAACACAGAACCACATTAATACCACTGACTGCTTGCGGTACACACTTTCACCGGATCCTAGTAAACTCAGTGGTCGAGTGGTTAAGATGTCAACATTAACAAGCGGGAAGTCGTGGGTTCCAATCCCACCCGAGCAAGCTTGTGATTTTTTTTCACAACTTTTGGACCACACTGAGAACACGATGTGAATATTACTTGTCACTGTAAAGACAAAACCTCATACGACCTTAGTATCCCCTGTGCATACCAAAATTTATATCTTTGAATTTGATGCAAGTCTGCCTTGAGAGTACCCTTGATGAATTTGTCTTGAGATTTTTTTTTAAGGGTCTGTCTGAAAAGATCTTGTGGCGGATCCCAGACAGTTCGTCATATCTGTGTTTCACCGCAAAAGCAAAAACGGGTAAGCAACAACGTAAGGTTGCAGGTGAGTTTACAAGTATGGAAAAAGTTTTACAGACCGATTCATATCACACTATACTAACAGGTCTTGGGGCTCGACATCTCGTACAGCATCCATTCGTCGGCACGGAAGGGTGCGTGAAACCAAATGGAGTGGTCCAAGGTGGTAACCTGGCCCAGTGGGATGTGCCTGTGTGGCATGTACGCTGTCCAGGCCATGAAGCTATCCGATATGTAGGCTGCAGCACAACGGTGAACGTTCTCGTCTCCACCTGTGCAAAGACAACGGTCACTCTTGCATATTCTAGTCCTCTGATTTCAACACAACTTTTTCATATTCATGTATCCCATTGATTAACCCTCCTATGTGGAAGTCACTCTTTGGGTCACTTGGTAAACACCTCAATGAAGCACAGCTGTGTCGTGTTGTGCACTGCACCAACTGTCCCTCACAGCACAGGA